AAGAGGAACAGGGAAACTGTCCTAGAGCCCACCCTTCCCAAGAACACAGAAAAATGTCCACACGCGTGCCCCACAGTAAGAGCAGCCACAGTCTGGTGAAATATCTGCTTCTAGCTTCCTGTTGAGGACACTGCTCTTCTCTGTATTTGTTTGCTTAGGGGTGCCCTAGCAACACGCCACAGTCTGGGCTTGAACAACAAAACTGTGTATTCTCACAGTTCTAGAGGCTGGGAGTCCAAGATCAATGAGTTGACAGGGTTGGTCCCTTTTTATTTTATTTTATTATTATTATTTTTTGAGACAGGGCCTTACTTTCTTACCCAGAATGGAACACAGTGGTGTGATCTCGGCTCACTGCAGCCTCAGCTTCCTGGGCTCAAGCAATCCTTCTACCTCGGCCGCCTGAGTAGCTGGCGCCACAGGTGCATACCACCATGCCAGTTATTTCCTTTTTTTTTTTTTTTTGTATTTTTTTTTTTTGTAGAGACAGAGTTTCACCATGTTGCCCAGGCTAGTCTTGAACTCCTGTGCTCAAGCGATCCATCTGCCTGGGCTTCCCAAAATGCTGGGATTACAGGTGTGAGCCACCATGCCCGGCCAGGGTTAGCTTCTTCCCAGGGCTGTGAGGGAAATACCTGTTTTAGGCTCTTTCCTTGGCTTGCAGATACCTTCTTCTGCCTCTGTCTTCACGTGGTCTTCACGCTGTGTGTCTGTGTCGTAATTTCCTCTTCTTATGAGGAGACCAGTCACAAGTCACCAGGATTCAGGTCCAACCTAGTGACCTCATTTTAACTTAATTACTTCTTTAAAGATTCTATCTCCAAATATAGTCACATTTTGAGGTTCCAGGGGTTAGACCTTGGACGTATCCACTTGGGGTGGACCAGGGGATGGCATTCATCATACAAGAACCTCCCTCCCTCTTCCCAAGTCCCCAGTCACCCTATGTGACCCTAATTCTAAAGGGCTCAAACTCCGGGGCCAGGCAGGTGCGTGACTTTGGATAAGTTACTTAAGCCCTCTGCCTTGGTTTGCTCATACATAACATTGAGCTAATGATTGTAGTTGTCTCACAGGGCTATTAGGGGAATTAAAGGAGTTATATGTCTAAGGCACTTAGAAGAGCACCTGGCACAGATTGAGCACTATATAAGTGCTTATTAAGTTAAACATTGAAATCAACAACTCATTTTTACTAAACCGTTAGGAGAAGCTGGGCACAGCAGTGCACATCTATAGTTCTAGCCACTCGAGAGGCTGTGGTAGGAGGGATTACTTGAGCCCAGGCATTCAAGACCAGCCTGCGCAACATAGCAAGACTCCAATCTCTAAAAAGATTTTTTAAGTTAGCCAGGTGTGGTGGTATGTGTCTGTGGTCCCAGCTACTCCAGAGGCTGAGGTGGGAGGATTGCTTGAGTTCAGGAGTTGGGGGCTGTAGTGAGTTATAATCTCACCACTGCACTCTAGCCTGAGCCACAGAGAGAGATACCATGTTTAAAAAAAAAATTAATAAAAATTAAGACAATTTAAAAAGTGTTAGGAGATGCTTACATTACTCTCCCAAAGAATTTGCTTTCTTGGCTGGGCACAGTGGCTCACCCCCTGTAATCCCAGCACTTTGGGAGGCTGAGGCAGGCAGATCACCTAAGGTCGGAAGTTCGAGACCAGCCTGACCAACATGGAGAAACGCTGTCTTTACTAAAAAATACAAAATTAGCCAGGCGTGGTGGCATATACCTGTAATCCCAGCTACTCGGGAGGCTGAGGCAAGAGAATCCCTTGAACTGGGGAGGCAGAGGTTGTGGTAAGCCGAGATGGCACCACTGCACTCCAGCCTGGGTAACAAGAGCAAACTCCATCTCAAAAAAAGAATTCGCTTTCTCTGGGCAATGCTTAATATCAGCAATGGAATCACTAATCCACAATAGGGGGACCACATATATTTGAGGGTGTGGGTCCCCAACATTCTTCAAAGTACACTATTTGACAACTACATAATCCACTATAAAATATTAACAGTAGTCAACATTTATTAAATGCTAACGATGGTGCTGGGCATGGCGGCTCACACCTGTAATCCCAGCATTTTGGGAAATCAAGATGGGAGGATCACAGAAAGTTGGGAGTTTGAGACCAGCCTGGCCAAAATAGCGAAACCCCATCTCTACTAAAAATACAAAAATTAGCTGGGCGTGCTGGCGGGCGCCTGAAGTCCCAGTTACTCGGGAAGCTGAGGCAGGAGAATTGCTTGAACCCAGGAGGTGGAGGTTGCAGTGAGCTGAGATTGTGCCACTGCACTCCATCCCGGGTGACAGAGTGATACTCCGTAAAAAAAAAAAAAAAA